TTATTCCATCTCTCAAACATCACAGTCTTCCTCATCAAATCCTCCTGATTTCCTGTAATTAGAGATTGCGACACAATTTTCTCTTTGCCGGAATAAAATATACAAGGTGTTTTTGAAATAAGTGTACATATTATTCAGCACATGATACAGTCTAAGAGGAATATTCCCATTTTTTTCAATTCTTTCGATAAACGAGAAATTTTATCCCAAAAATTGAACAAAATACGAGAAAAAAATCAAGTACGTCACTTTCAACAACTTGATGGATTGAACTCCGCGTGATTTTGCCTTCCGCATGGAAATTTGAACAGAGGTGACGTCAGATTTGCTAATTTTTTTTATTAGTGCCAATTATTATTCGAGATAGCGAGGGTGATTATGCCAACCAAAAATGTTTTTGCTATTATCAATTATATAGAGCACTCCAGAAAAAACTACGTTCCCAGTAGCTGATTCGATAATTAGAATTTTTCTGAATATATCGATATAGTTGATCGATTGTGATCCAAATGTAAATAAAAACTCTCGATATTTCCATTTCTGAGTATATGTATTCGTGAATCACCCTGATTTCTAATTTATTCAGCAATAGCTGAAACATTGAAAACATATTCACGTTATGGCTATCTTGTATACATAACATGCAATTAGGAAACACCCTTTATATTGTGTAATCCATCTAATGGAATAATTGCTGATTGTGAGAAATACCTGAGTTGACAATATTACCAGCATAATTCCTGCAAAAGTGCAGAACATAACAATGAATAATGCACAGTCAGTTCTTGAATGTTTTTGTTATAAGGTCAGGAAAATGTAATGTGAGAATTGTGTTGAGATTAACATCTTCTAGAGATTTTTTTTCAATATGAACGTCTTTGAATTTCTCGCCACAATTGCATTTTTGAACTGTTAAGTTTTATCATCATTATTAATCTATGGTGGTAGTCCATATTGTTTGAGAATGATGAATATATAGAGAAAAACATTATATTAGAATATTCTAAAATGAGTATACCTATTTGAACGTTGTCAGACTATTCATAGGATATTCTGTGCTGACTGGGTGTATTGGGACCATATCGTTGCAACGAGAATATCGGGAAAATATTGTGAACGTAATATTGGCTAGAAACAAAATGTGAACTTTTGGCGATATTGGTACAAAAAATCGCTAATATGAAGCTAATATAAGCTCTGCTATTCGAAAATATTAGCGCCTCTCAGCCTCAAAATACACCTGTGTCCCCTCTGAAGTTCGAAAAAGAATTCCAAATGGCTCACTCTGTAGGTATACGGGTGTATTTAAATAAAACCGAAAAAATCCCACAGGTTACTCCTGGTGATATTATAGCAAATAAAGTTCATATAAACATGTTTGCAACGTTTTTGAGATACAGTATGTTGAAGTTGGAATTAGAACCCCCTTGTATGAGCTTTCATATGGTGCCAAAGTTCAGTATGATTGGAGACTGAGAGCTTCAAAATTCCAAAATGATTCTAATTGGAGTTTTTGAGTAATCTCAATGGAAATCTTAAATACACCTACAATGAAATTTGGAGTCAAATCGAATTTTTATTGTTTCCTCAAAAACTAAACCAGATACAAAAATCATACAAAAAAGGGCAATTCGTCTCGTGGGTGATGCCTCGCTCACGAACTCAATCACTTCTCTGGAACACCGTCGACAAGTTGGCGATCTGGCTCTATTTTATTGATATTTCCATGGACGATGCTCTTCTGAAATATCAACAATTGTTCCTCCATTGGCAGTCCCCGCGAGATTAACCCGTCGATTTGAGGCTTCGCATCCTTTTGTGGTCACTTTGGAGACCTGCAGAACATCTCGTTCCAAAGACTCGTTTATCCAACGAACAGCGAGGCTCTGGAACACATTGCCAAGGAATGTGTTCCCCGAGGCATATAACATCCAGAAATTCAAGAAGAACCCCAATTCCTACCTAATTTCCCTTGGTTCTCACGATGTTCTCTGAACATTACAGGATATCCCTTTTCGTGAGAGCCAGAACATGAAAAAAAATCTAATAAGAATATGAAACATATATCGATAAATTTACCCACTGTGACGCCACTGGTGATATCATTTCGAATATAATTGTCCCAGAAGAAGCTCCATATTACTATTAACAAAACCACAACGTTTTATTGAAATCAGAGAAAATACAATTGAATGAAACGAAGCAAGTTAGGACACATGTTTACATAAACTTTATTTTTTGAAATATCACAAGGAATCACCCCTTGAATTTTTTTGGTGTTATATAGTAGGTATATTAAGTATATGTTTTTCCACATATTGTAAACGAACCTTCCGACCAATATTGTTTCAATATTGTAGCTGACAATCCACATTCAGCTCAGGTTGAGCCATTATTCCAACAAAATTATCATTCTAATATTGTATTTTTGTATTTTTAATGTCCAACATGAGAGGACCAATATTATTTTTACATTCACAATACCGGTCCAATATTTTCCTGTGTCATAATTTTGTCTGCTTTCAAAATAGAACCAGCGCATAATCGATTAGCTCTAAATTGTTCCTCTTTCCTTTTTCAATTCTTCCACAAGAATAAATAATACATAATTTGTGATTATTTTCCTCCGAATCATCACTCAAGCGGAGGACTACATCAGCACATATGATCCGAAATTACTGATCTGCTCCCTGCCACCTGCTGATCCTTGATAAATATCGAAACGATACATGTATCCATACTGATTCCAGCTCCATACTTTCACACCCCATTCCTTCGTTTTTTTTCAAGATATTGTTGTATACCAAGCTTGCCTTTGAGTGGTATGATTTGCTCATCTACTGACTGGTATTCTCCATCCTCCATAGCAGATAAGACGTTTTTTCGCAGACTGTTCAAGAATGGTCGAATTCTCTTTAGTTTATCTGTATCATTTATGGTTTCTAAACCGTCATTAATGACGAAATGTAAGAATCTCACTATTGACTCATATCGGTTTTACAGCTCCGAACAACTGTATGATTGAAGGATTACAGACATCGTATTAGCAATAGCTTTCCTCTGTAAACCATCCGCTACTGATTGCTTTACTGAACTTCCTCGGATTCTCTCTACCAGCTAGACCACTTAGAAGATTATTTATATAGCCGAAACCCAGTGTGTCCTCTTGAATCAGGAGCATTCAACTTTTCTCGAAACTTCCACCGGTGTACCCCAAGGATCTATTCTCGGACCTGTCTCATTCGTTATTCACACTTCTCAGTTTCCTAAGTGCCTCCATTACACTCACATTCATAGCTATGCTGACGATACTTGAATTTATGAACAATTCCCAGAAAATTAGTTGGAAGAAGCATGTCAGCAAATGAATTTTGATTTGTTTCACTTTATTATAATGAGACTCTTGAATCTGAATGAGATGGTAAAGAGTCACATAACGTATCGACTGTCTCTAGAAAAACATTAATCTTTGCAAATCGAATTGGAATTAGGATGAGGAACGGTATATCCGACAGTAGTGTTTATTTTTGTGATCTTCAATATGAAGTAGAAAAGAGGTAGGTTCCTATATGAAATAATGGCAAAGTTGACTCTGCAATGTCCTTGAATAAGACTCAAAGCGTTGATCACGAAGGATAAGCATTAATATCAATATTCTTCTCGGGTCCTGAAGTGAGACTACTTTTATTTACAACCATATATGTAATGTTGTCATTACTAACGTCATTGAAGATTGGGAAGTGTCACATTACACACCTCTACTTTCCGTCCTCACTTCCCGCCCCTCACTACTTCCTGTTCTCACTTTCCGCCCTCACTCATGAATTAATTCAGGAATGTTCAGATCGAAACATAGATTCATTGATTTTGATTGAAATATGATGGTTGTAAATAATAGTTATTTATGTATCAAGGGCGTAAAATAGGCTTTTATGGACCGCAGCGTATAAGTAATAGACCGAGCGATAGCGAGGGCTATCAACACGCCTAGGTCCATAAAAGCTAGTTACGCCCGAAATACATACAACATTTTATGCACGACCTGTATATATTTGATATCTCATGTAGGTATCTCTTCACCCCTCAAGCACAATAAAAATACATCACGGTTGCAGTGAGACTGTATTGTATCCATATCGCAAATACAATTAATCAAGAAGTATGGAATAAACGTTACCATGGCAACTCAGTCAATTTTTCGAAATAGGAATTAATATGCCAGTAGCCATATTAACTGTCAATTTGTGTAATCATGCATAATTCATTAGTGATTTCAAAATGAATTCTAGTGATGAAGAAATTGTGAATTGTACTCCACCAGAAATTAGTGAGGCAGCTGAGGAAGCAAAATCGAGTAAATTGTCAAGTAAATAAAAAAAATATACGACAAAGTATATGAAGAATTCGTAAGCTGGTGCGACAGAAATGATGTAAAAAATAAGAACTACACTGAAAGTGTGCTTCTTGCCTATTTTCTGGAAAACTTTAATATTCAAATGAGCACTCCTGTATAGTTCAGATCTATTTTCCAAATCATTCTGCATTAATTGAAACCATTGGAATCTAGATTTCTATCGATATGACAGTGACATTAGCTTTACCACCAGCTCAATAACTTTATCGCCCGCCGGGCGGTAAAGTAGTCCGCGAGCGGTAAAGTAGTCCGCGGGCGGTAAAGTGCCACTTTACGCCCGCAAACCCGGGCGGCAAAGTGCTACTTTACGCCCGGTCGTGCATAAAATAGTATACAAACCCCGGTAGGAAGATTCATTCCTGTCTCGAAATTATAGCTAACCTCGACGCTTTGCGTCTCGGTTAACTAACTAATCTCACGACAGGAATGAATCACTTTCCACCTCGGTGTGTAATATACTAATTCCTCTTATTTTTCCCAAATCCATATGGTTTTCGGAATATTTAGCTAAAACGAATGATATTGTTATAAATTTCTAAAGTATGTATTCGTAAGGTAAAATAGTTTTATTTTTATTTCAGACTGCATGATGTCGGGTAGATCGTCAATTGTATTTCTTTGTTGGTGCCTGCAAATTAGTTGTGGCCTACAGCAGCTGGATGTTATAAATCAATGGAATTTGTTAGATTTTGATCTGCCGTATCATTATGACTACAGAGATTATAGGTAAGCTTTCTTTGTCTCAATACAATAGTTATGTATGTATACCAAGTGCGTTATATAGATCCTAACTCCCGGAGGGAAACATTCATCCATTGGCCCAAAATATGTATCTTGTTATTGTAATGAAAAATCGATTTCAAGAAGCGGTTCATTGCTCATAGCATTTTCTTTTCATTTTTCTCCTCGTGGTAGGCATGGTATCTGCTAATATTTTGACGGTTGTTGAATATTACTGTCATCATTTAATTCAGTGAGTGTCATTGCTGCTTTCTTTGTGTATAGTCTTATAGAAATATTGAAGATAAATAAGAATTTTCCCAAGAATATCATGAAAACTGAAGACATGGCTTCGATTAATTAATTGCCGGAGAAATCCAGACTCGTGTATATACGACAAGGATTTTGAGGTATTCAATCTATGGGAGTTGAATAATGAAATTATTGTCATAGATGAGCCGTATTATTGCCGTACTTTCAAGAATTGGTATGTGATGTCATGAAATACTTACAGAAAAAAACAATTTGCAAGCGTATGATCCATAATGCTCTCCATAACGCCTCAGGCGTTATGGGTATGTTAATAGCAACCGTTGCCAAGGTATTTAAAACAGTAATGGGCAGGAAAAATATAAAATCAGTGATTTATTATGAAAGGAAAAAATGTAGGAGATTTCAGCTCCAGGTTGTTTTGTCCCTTGACGCGTAGCGGAGGAGATATTATATAATATTAAAATCAGAATATTATCGACGTGAAATTAGAGGATTTTATGAAATAGTTTGAATAAATAATTCTCCAGACCTCACACTGAAAATACCAGAGACCCGAAAGATAAATGCTTTGATTCCTGTAATTATCCAGAATAAAAATAGCAACCCGTATTCCAGGCTGAACCCAGGGATTGTAATTAAAGCCTACATTCCCAGGCGCCTTTATTGATCCCAGGTCTGGTTCAATCGTTAAAAATAGCACCTGGAATGAATAATATTCCAGGCCTATTCTAAAGTACCAGAGACCTGTTTTCGACAAAGATATTTGCTTTGATTCCGGTAGTTATCTAGAATTGAAACAGCAACCAGTATTCCAGGCTAAACCCAGGGTTTGTAATTGAAGCCTACACTACCTTGGCTCCTTATTGATTCCAGGTCGATTCAATAACATTGACCCCTGTAGGTACCGAGGTAGGTATACCTCCTTTACTTGTCTTCGTTCCTCTGTACATAAATAGCTTTGTGCAGAGCAGGTGAAGTAAACCACCTCATTAACAATCTCGTCCGAGACCCCCTCCCCATGTCAAATACTAGAGTAGTCTCTGTCCGAATAGGCGCCAAAGTAAGAGCCCCAGAAATAATGGCCGTTACAATGTGATATACATCCGGGAACAAGCTTTTACTTTCCTCCCGTGGGAAAGAAATTATTTATGAAAAGTGTCATTTTATAAATTATCAGCACAGACGAAATTTCAAAACATTTTTTCCCGTCAAAAAAAAAACTTTTCATTGGAATACGACTGTATAGATACACGGTTTACATTTACTTATTGTCATATATTTTCCGATTACCTTGTATGTTTTGAATTGACTCGGCCGTGATGGAAATCCATTGCAAATGTGAAAACTTCACAAAAGTTAAGATATCCACAAAATTCTCAAACACACGACATGTTTCGCTAACACAGTAGCTTCGTCTTCTTCAGTTCATTGTTCCAGTATATCACCTGATCATTCATCATAATCACAATAACTGGATAATTTACAATTCACGATCCACGAATCTCTAACAGAAATTCATTATTATAATGTAATGTTTCTCCAAATAAACAATACAAAAAAAATTACCACGCTGTGCGCCACTGGATTCTGCGCAAAGTTCTATATGTATAACGTTATTTCTAATAACTCCGTGGTTAAAGAAGAGGTCCAAGAAGTTAACATTTAGGTCGCCCTCTGTCGTATCTTATAAACGAGGACAGTTATACAAAATCTGGTTGGGCCATGTTGAGATCAACAAAAAAGTAGGAAAAGAACGTGAGAAAGATTATGTAATGCCTCTTGTATCGTGTTTCAATAGCTATCATTACATGTTATGTTTATATCTATACTAATATTATAAAGCGGAGAGATTTGTTTGTTTGTTTGTTTGGCTCCGAAACTACTGGACCGATTTGAAAAATTATTCCTCCAGTCGAAGCCGACATTACCCCTGATGAACATACCCAGTAAACATCACACTCACTTCGAAATTACGTAGTGAAATTACCACAACGGTTGGTTGAAATCACGACAAAAAATGTATTCTCAACTACTTATTTCAACAAAAATATCCGTTTGAAACCGGTGGAAACTGCCCGGTTCTCAACAAAATTTTTCACGGGAAATAAACGTGAGATATCAACGTGCAAACAAGTTGATGAAAAAATATATCCCAACGTTCAATTTGGATCAATTTTCAATCGTCGAATTTTCGGTTTATCGAACGTTCCTTCAACGTTCAAGTCAGATTATTCTTCGTTAATTTTGTGTCTACAATTATTTTATCAACATTCTCATAATTACTATAATTATTATCATTCCTTACTAACCTGCGCCATGTACTCCATGTATTTCCTTTCCTCAGCTGTTCCACTTTCTTATCAGTGAGGTGTCCATCTCTACGTATCCCTACTTGAAAATGCTCGACTACTCGTATTTGTAACTTAACTCTCGCTGTGAGTGTCGGCGAGATGTAAACGGATTGAATACACGTCTTCTAATGACGATTGACTAACGTTGTTGGAAAACATAATATCATTGGTTTCTTTTCTTTTACTTTCAACGGTTATCAGAAACTCTCAATAAAACGTTTGATTAACGTTCATTTCAAATTTCAACAGTTCAATAATCGTTTCGAATAAACGTTACTTCACCGTGAAAACTCTGCCGAATCAATGAAAAGTAGTTTACCATGAGTAATACACGTTTCAAATGCCGGTACGGTTCTTATACTCATGATTTTTAAAATTTGTACAAGAATTGGGGGAAAAATTGAAAATCCGACTTAAAGATTTTCAGTCAAATTTTCGGTTTCTCAGGAGGTGGAGTCATTCTTGTTGATGTCAGAGGCATTTTCCATGTTTCAAAACGGAATTTTGTCAAGTATAAAATTGCACAGTTTTGCCAAGGTTAAACCGACACTGCATTTCCTACAGTTTACGAGATCCCAAAGATGAGGCTCTAATTCCAGCCACCCTGTACATAATTGGTAGTTTTCAGTATCGAGAAAAACGCTCTATTATTCAGTATCTCGAACGTAGGACCATTCGTCTCAATGTCGATGAATAACCAGTGATTGAATCAGTATCTCCTGATTTAAATGACATACTGAAATCAATGTCTGATAATCGTTTGGAGCATCCGAATATCGAAGAATAATATTCTTTACCTAATAAAATACGTTTTCACGTTTTATCGACAATATCAGTACACGATCGAATGATCAAGTTACTCAAAAGTTATGAATATGTGAATTCAAAACGTTGTAGTAAACAAGAATTTGTTGTTTGAATCTATTAGTTTTCTAACGTTATAAACAGGTTATTTCTAGCAATTATTCTACCGTACATTGTGAATGTGTCGTTTCATCGAGATATAATGACGTGTTGTTGCTTGAAAGTATCAACGTTTCATTTCAACGTTTAAAAGTGGTTGTAGATGAACAGAAAGTAATGAATTGTTGGCTATAAATGTGTAAATAACGTGTTTTATTTCCCAGTCATCCTCAACCAAATTTCAACGTTGAAATTTTCAACCACTAACGTTATTTCCACGATTCCGTTTACTTGGTAGGCTACTTTTTGTTGCAGTAAAATGCTCCATTCGTACTGAAACGGGTAATAGGACAACGGGTACTAAGAATCATCCTTACGTACTTATCTTTTTCACATAACTTCTGAACGGCTGAACCAATTGGGTTGAAATTTTATATGGGTATTTCGATTATATCCTGGATGATTTGAAAATACAATTGAACGCGGTAGGTGGCGCTGCTGTCGGTACGTCAAATACTGAACAGCTTGACCGATTGGGTTGTAATTTTTAATACGAATAACAACAAAAAAATATAAAAGATACTAAAAGAATGAGAATAGGTGTAAGTATATGATACTCAGATAGCACAATGTCACTCACAGAACTTTCATTGGATATTCTTCGAGAATATTCGAATATTCTCAGAATATTCTCAGAATATTCTCACAATATGATACTCATATTCTAGGGAGCTTTTACGATCATTCGAAAGGGACTGTTTTGAATATTCCGTATACTGAAGGAGAAGGAAGAAAATAATATGCGAACCTACTATCTTGATTGAATCGAACCGTATAAATAAGATGAATCGCAAGATGACAACACTGATGAATCAGAGGAATAATCAGCATTGAGGCTAGAGAATAATAGGTTGTGTCAGGATAACACTATGAATACTGATACAAGAATAGAAAAGTCAATATCATATATCTTGATTCGATTTTCAATATTCTCAGAATATTGAGAAAGAATATTCTGAGAATATGTCGAATTGAATGTTCTTAAAATATTCTTTGCAGAATGGGAATATTCTATGGTCATTCTGAGAACATGCTCTGAGAATATTTTGAAATAAGAATATTTGAATGTTGTCAGAATATTCATAGAATATTTCGTGCTGTCTGGGGGGTAGGTAAGCTCCAAGAATTGAATAGAAAATATCGAAAAATACGCGCATAGCTCAGAATGACTGCAACAATTTTTTTTGATTTCTTCAAAATGGGTAAAACAACCTTGCAAAGTCGAGCCGGACATCAGCTATATATGTTACATGAGATACTAGTATAGAATGAATGTATCGTGAACTATCAAAAATTCAAATTTTCATCTTAACAACTTGATAGACAAGCGGTGGTTCCGTTATACTTATTGCTATACCAGGTATGAATTTATCATGTGACGCCGGTTATTTATAATACATTCTTAATTACATTCAACTT